AGGCTTGCGCTGCCAGCAGTGGCAGCAGCAGAGGTATGATGGGGCATCACCTTCCCCTGATCACCAGGTCGCCTCCTGCCTCTGAGGACTCCCGGACTGGGAGGGGGGGCAGGCCAGGCTAAGGAACCCCTCTCCAGTGCATGAATTTTCATGCACCAGGCCTCTAGTGAAATACAAACAGAAGTCAACTGCAGGGCTTCTGGAACTGATTTTGCTTTCCTAATAAAGCTTCAACCCTTTTCCCTTCTCCTGCTTCCAATGAAGCTGTGTTGCCTAAAAATATGGCAGCCACCTCATAACTATAAGAGACAAAACAAGATTACTACAAATAGCTCCAAATCTTCAGATTTCTGGTTGAAGAAAATAGCCAATGGTGCCTACTTACTTAAGCCACCATCAGTTGCATATTCTCTTTAACTTAAAATTAGCTAAACATTACAAATAACATATCTACACGTATAGTTCTAATAGAACCTGCTATTTAAAAAGAGACTAAAACCAAAAGTCTAAAATGTAATGTTAATAAGTATGTCAAATCAAAAAGTGAACGAATGAGACACGTGATGCTGGGCTGATGTTGTGGCATTCACTGTGACGTTCGCTGCTCCAACTAGCGGTGGGGTATCTGAAGCTGGCTCGTAACCCGAATTTTAGCTCGCAACTCAAAGCAAAAAATCGGCCAAGAGACGGCTCGTATCTCGAAAAACTCGTTAGTTGGGACACTCGTAAGTCAAGGCCCCACTGTATTTCTAAATATTAATGGAAAAATGCCAGGAATCTGCAGACTGTTCTCTGAAGAATGAGTAACCCAAGAGAAAGACCTAAATTTCAACACCAAGGATTCTCACATAAGCGGAATAGCCAGATCATCCTGAGTCCCAACTATTACCAAACCTACTCACACCTAGAGAGAGTATAGTCACTTTTCTGTGTGTGCTGTTAAATATGAGCACTACAAAGATCACCAAACTTCAGGCAAATGTCTATACAGAAGACAAAGTCCAAATGAAACAAGAAAAAAAGTCAATTAGAGGAAGTAGACTATATATAGAAATGAAACCATCTAAAAAAAACTATCCTCAAACACCTTAGAAATAAGGAAGAAGGATATTACCACTAAGAACAGGATGCTGGGTTTAAAAACAGGGTGAGGCAAGCCAGTGAGCCAGGATAAGTGGAACAGGGAAACTGAGACAGACAGCTGAATAACCTGGCAGAGCAATTTTTAGCAGATACAGAAGGTCACCTCCCTAGAAATAACATCTAAGCCCCAGTCGTATTTCAGCTCCAGTCCCAGAAAAGTAGCAAAACCAAGTGGGCAACACCAGGATTAGTTGCAATGACTAATGTCCCCTGCCCTGACACTGACCAATCAGTGAAGACCATGACCCTGAAGGAGCACATCTAGAAAGCTGATGATTATTCTGCTAAAAACAAGATCCCCCCAAGACCTCCCTTAAGATTCCTGGCAGTAAGAAAAGGATTCAGCTTTCCCTCTGGGGAGCAGCCCCCACCATTTCCTTTCCCCTCTTCCTCCACCACGGGAAGGCATCTCCTAAACTCCAAGGGACACCACAAGATTTACAACCAGAGGAGCAATGCGCAGCGGAAACTCATCCTAAGCTAACCCCTGAACCTGTTTCCAAGGTCCCCTTTAGCTTACTTCCCAGAGGGCTAGGACAGCCCAGCCTAGGCTTTCCTGTTGCTGCTTCTATGCTAATCCCTTGCTTGCT